TTTCCCATGCGGCACCAGCGGCTGCCCCAGGGGTCCTGCCTCGGCGACACGGGGAGGGTGGGGCTGTGAGGGAGCAGCCCCGGGCTGTACCCCGCCCCCCCGCCGAGGGGCGCCGCTCTGAGGCGAAGGCCTGACGGGGGCTGCTTTGTGCCCCGCTGCAGATGGAGTTCTGGAAAGGCTACACCAACTCTGTCTACTCCGTCAAGGACCCGGGGCCGGGCACGGAGCGCTCGGACGCCATGTACGTGGTGGTGCCTCTCCTGGGCGTGGCGCTGCTCATAGTCATCGCCCTGTTCATCATCTGGAGGTGCCAGCTTCTGAGGCGAAGGCCTGACGGGGGCTGCTTTGTGCCCCGCTGCAGATGGAGTTCTGGAAAGGCTACACCAACTCTGTCTACTCCGTCAAGGACCCGGGGCCGGGCACGGAGCGCTCGGACGCCATGTACGTGGTGGTGCCTCTCCTGGGCGTGGCGCTGCTCATAGTCATCGCCCTGTTCATCATCTGGAGGTGCCAGCTGCAGAAGGCCACGCGCCACCGCCCCTCGTACGCCCAGAACCGCTACCTGGCCAGCCGCGCGGGCCGCAGCCTCCCCCGGGTCATGGTGTACCGAGAGACCTCTCACAGCCAGGGGGAAGGCCAGAGCCAGCGCGAGCCGGGCGCCCGGGGGCCTGCCGACGGCCGGGCCGGGGGCGGCTCCCACTTGGATGGCACCCTCTACCCGCCGGAGCACTCCGTCTCCATCCTCTCCAGACTGTCCAGCGCCACCCCTCCCCCTTCCTACGAGGAGGTGACCGGGCACCCGGAGAGCAGCAGCAGCAGCGGCGAGGAGACCAGCGTCTCCTATAACGACCCGCCGCCCAAGTACGAAGAGATCGTGGGCGCGGCCCCTGCCGTGGGCAAGTAGCGGTGCCAGTCCCCTGCGCCCGGACCCTCCTTGCGGTGTAAATCTCTCTCACACTCTTACCAGACGCTGCCATCACGGGAAAGCCTTACCTTCTTCGCTCACCAAAAATGTCTGTCCCCGACGCGGGGAGGGGCGCCGGCGGCCAGGCGGGGGGGCCGTGGGGAGCAGCCCCTGCTGCCAGATGGCACGCGCCCCGAGCTCTGCCCTCCTGCGTGGAGAGACCTGCCCCCGAGAGGCACCCGGGCGGGTGGTAGTTCCTGGGTGCCCATGATCGCGGGGTAAAGGGGCCTCCCGGCAGGGCTCACGGGGCGTCCCTCTCCCTGCATCCCCGCCGCGCCTCGTTTCGTTTTGTGGGGGAAGCGGAGTGGCAGGGGCAAAGGCCTCCCAAGGGCCGAGTGGCGCTTCTGCCCGAGCGACGGGGCGCTCTCAGCCGCGGGGAGGGGCGTGCCGCGGCGCGCCAGCCAAGTGCCGTAGGAGCAGAGTGGCCGCTGGCCCTGTGGGGATTCTCCTCAGCGCGTTCCATCCAAAACCGAGCACTCGGGTCATCCTGATTGGAACCAGCCGCACTGCTGCCTTGGCACCCCCCGCCCCCTGTATATGCACATGCCGGCACCGGGACGCTCGGGGGGATCGAATTCTCCTCAGTTCCTTGCCGGGGCGTGCGTGGGAGTGTCAAACGTGCGTGCGCCTCGCACGGCCTTGCACAGCGGGGGTGAAACGTAGCCGCTCTCCCGGCCAGATGCCGTTGAGCTCTGTCTCCTCCCTCCTCGCCCGCCTGAGGGGGTGTCATCACCTGAGGGAAGGACCTGCGGCCGGGGAGATGCTCTGTGATCCGGTGTTTTCTCTCCACAGGGGGTGGCCCACGGGTGAGCGCCTGTGAGGAGAATGTCTCTGGACGGGGGCACCTGGAGCTTGTGTCTCCGTGACCCCCGGCTCCGTGTGACGTGTCTGTTCCAGGGAGCGAGCCCTCTGGCTGGGATTGCCCTGGGCCTCCTGTCTCTGTGTGGCTGAGGCAGGCGGGCGGTCTGCCTCGTTGCCTTGTGTGACGCCAAATCCAAGACTGGTCCTGGCAGGTTTTTAAGGCTCTCCCCGTTTTAAGGGTGGGGGTGTCTCTTCCTCCTTGGCGTTGCCCCATTCCGCCTCCCCCACCAGCTCCGACCTCTGCCAGGGCCTTTCCCATAAATCGGATGCGGTTACAGAGGGGAGACTCCATCCCTTTCCTTGTCCCACCGTGCGCCAGCATCCGGTCTGCGAAGCATCTGCCCAACGGGGGGGCACTGCCCAACATGCTCACCAGGCTGGAGGCAGATGCGGCGCAGCGGCCCTTCCCCATGGGCCGCCGTCCCGCCTGCCAGCTAGCACGGTGAGAGTGGGAGACTGGTCTCCTTTGAGGCCCATGCCGTGGTCCGTGCTGCAGCTGCCAAGGCTCTGGGGCTTGTGAGTTGGGGAACTCACCTGTAGCGCTGGGCACACTTGGGCCAGGCCACCGGGGCGTGCGTCAACATCTTGTGCTGCCCCTTGCCGGCCGGGCAGAGCTAAGGAACGAGGGAAAGGGGGAGGGAAATTGTGGGGGAACCTGCCCTTGTGAATAAAGTGGGGGTAGGAAGCGGTTTCAGTAGGGGGCGTGTTTCATAGACGCCGCCTACCTCTCTTGGCAGCTGTGACTCTGTGTGGAAGATCCCATCGTCGCAGGACTCTGGGCTTTGTAAGCAATCACCAGAGCTAAGGAAGACCACGCGCGCGTGGCGTCTGCGTGGTGTGGGGCAGGTGTGCTGAAGGCTAGGCCTGGGAGCTAGAAGCTCTGGGTTCTAGCCCTGTCACAGATGTTGGGACAGTCACTTACCCTCTCTGTGCTTCTGAGGGACAGTGTCTGCGGGGCATTTTGCAGCTAAATTCGTGGCACGTAAAGTGCTTGGAGATCTGTGGATGCAGGGTAAAGGGGCGGAGCTTAGGAAGGTTCCCTCTAAGATTCCGTGTGGGCTTGCGGAGGGCCGTGAAGATTTCACTCTTCTCCGTGGGGGCTTAGGAGGGCCTTGGTGTGTGGATGCGGGTTCGATTGTCTGGGTTTCCCCTCAGGGCTGGGCTGAGCACCAAGCTCTAGGGTGAACAAAGTAAAACCAGAACGCGCTGTCAGACCGTCTCCCACGCTTGCCCGCGCGGCTCCCTCTGCTCTGTCCTGGGGCCTATTGCAGAATGCCTGGGATGTGCAGAAATCGAGGGAGTAGGCAGGCCTGGATCTCTCCGAATTTTGTCTGCGTTTTTTTTTTTTAAAGAGGCCGGGCCACGCTCACTGGTCAGGTTTGGGGGGTGAAATATCTTTTTTCAAAGATCTGGGTTTTTTTAGCCACTGACTTTTTATTGGGGCTGGAGCTTCAAGATCCGAACCTCATCAGTAGTTACAGAGAGCAGCTTAATGAATTGGCGGATCCAATTCTGCCCCGGCAGCAAATCTGACTCTGACTCCCATCACCTTTGTTACTGTTTCTCTGTGGGCTTTTGCCTGCCTCCAAATTCTTTCCTTCTCTCCCCGCGTCTTTAGAACATAGAAGCACAATGAGGCGAGTAAAGCCAGAGAGAAACCCCAGCAACGGAAAGGGTTAGTGAACCCAACAAAAACAAGTGACAGTAAACCTTCCCGAAATCTTTAAACCTCTCCCGCATCCCTGGGAGTCTAAAATCTGCAACCCTGGGCTAGGGCAGAGGAGCCAGAAAGTGCCTAGGGCAGGATGGCCAGGCCGTGCACCAATCACACAAATGGCCGAAAGTGAACTCGATTTGCTTTCGAGACTCCAAAATGTTGCTATTCCCCTGGAAGGCTAATTTGGTCTTGCAGGGTCTGATATTTCACTTCATGGTGTCTCCTTTTCACCGCTGCTTTGGAGAGTAGCTGATGACTGCTTACTGGAGCCGAGCAATGATTTGGCTCTGTCGTTTCTCGAGGAGAACTGGCTTATTGGTGACGGTGTAGTGCTGCTGAGTTGTGTAGTGCGTGTAGCCTATTCGGCCCCACTCGGCCCCAGGGCCGGCTCCACCCCAGGATAGGCATGAAAGGAATTGGAGCCGGCCCCACTCGGCCCCGGGGCCGGCTCCACCCCAGGATAGGCATGAAAGGAATTGCTAAGGGAATGACACTGCCCGTCCGCCTGTTGCATGCCCTCCTGGTAAGCAATCCAGTTGCTTCTCTGGGTTGCACCTCCAGCTGGCTCTGCAACCTCCCTGCAAGGAGCTTTGCTTAGCAAGGGGGCTCCTGCCCCCTCCCTTGTGCCCCACCTTGTTCTCGCTGGCAGCCCCGCGATGTGGTGGTCTCACTGTACAAGTATTGAAGTGTCCAGCACTGCCATCCCTATTAATGTTACTGAGCACAAATCTCACTCCTCCACCCCCAAAAAGCACCGGCAAGGACATTTTAGCTGGTTGGAAATGCCCGTCACTACATATACCTCTCAGCTGTCCCCGGTTCTGGTCCAAGCACACCCCGTGTTCTCTTACCCCTTCATGTTGGAAAACAGCCGACAGCAGAAAGGTTGACTCAGGAACCTGAGGGTGCGAGAAAATCTTATTTCTGTGCCGGGGCAGCTGCTTGCACTCTGTGTGTTGTGTCCCTCTCCTTCTGGGTCTGTGTCCACATGTGGGCCATGGCATATGGTCTATAGCTAGGTCAGGATCCACCGGAACTTTAAAAGGAGCAGAGAGAGGTGGGAATTTCTTCCTCCCTCTCTCCCTCTTACAGTCACAGTGATGAACCCTGCGGTTTGAATTGTGTACAACTTGGTCTATTTCTGTGCCAAAACATTATTTATTAAAAAAACCACCGTCAAAACTGTGCATTGTCATTTTTCCCTGCCTGGACCTGTGGGCACCAAGTTATTTGGAAAAGCCAGGACCCGTTCACAAGGGAGGATGCCTCTGTGGGCCCAGTTCAGCTGTTTACCTTGTGCAGTCACTACATCAGTGCAAGGGGAAGCAGTGTGAAATCACACAAGTACCATTTTTCACCAGCCTTGAACGTCTCTAGTCTGGCAAGATTTTAGTTAGCTGGATGTCCATGCATGTGACCAAGTTTCCTACAAAGTTTATTTACAGCCTCCACTCCTGTGCTGGTCTTTAGCTCCAAATTCACCACTAGAGGGAGTCCATCTGTAAATAGCCACAGAAGATATGAAGGTTCTGGGCTGCATGTGCTTTTTCTGGACTCGCTTTCTTATTTGGGTATACCTATCTCATAGAGCTGGAAGGGACCTCGAGAGGTCATCCAGTCCAGTCTCCTGCCCTCACAGTAGGACCATATACCATCCCTGATAGATTTGCTCCAGATCCTTAAATGGCCCCCTGAAGGATTGAACTCACAAACCTGGGTTTAGCAAGCCACTGCTCAAACCACTGAGCTATCTCCCCCTTGATGAAAGTGACCCCTAAACTCAGCTTGAAAAGGACTGAAGAACTCTGCCTACAGGGCTGGAGCCGGCACTGTGCTTATTGCGGGAGGAGGAATGGCATGAAATTCATCTTCGAAATGGTCCTTACGGCTCAGAGGCTGCTGTGCTGGAAACACAAGCAGTGCTGCCTCCATGGTACAGCCCAACATTGGCCCAGTCTCTTCTGGTTTGTGCCTAGTGGCGTCCCTACACAGCGATCGGCTGGCCGGCTGACCATCATAAGAATGGCCAGACTGGGTCCATCCGGCTCAGTATGCTGTCTGCTGACAGTGACCTATACCAGATGCCCCAGAGAGAGGGAACATAATAGGGAATCCTCATGTGATCTCTTCCCTGTCAGCCATCTCTAGAGAAACAGAGGCTAGGGACACCATTTCTACCTATCCTGGCTAATAGCCACTGATGGACCTAACCTCCATGAATCTATCTAGCTCTTTTTTGAACCCTGTTAAAGTTCTAGCCTTCACCACATCCTCTGGCAAGGAGTTCCACAGGTTGACTGTGCGCCGAGTGAAGTAAAACATCCTTTTGTTTGTTTGTTCGACTATCCCCTACAGCAGGGGTGGGCAAGACAATGTCCATGGGCCGGATCTGGCCCACCAAGCTGTTTGATCCGGCCTGCGGCCGCCCTGCCACTCCCCTGCTCCCAGGTCAGTAAGGGTCTGTGGGCAGGGGAGCATGTGAAGCCTCCTAGCCCCGCCCATTCTGTCCAAAGCCCCCCCCCTTCCAGGGCAGTCCCCAACCACTCCGAAATTCGTGAAGTGGCCGCCCCCTTAAAAACGATCGCCCACCCCTGCCCTGCCCTGCAGCCTCCCTGTTGCCAGTGCAGCAGGGGCGAAACCCAGAAGGGAAGGTGCTCTCTGACGGCCCGTCCTGTACAGGGACCGACACAGCGCCCGTGCCTCATGGAGCTGACCCTCAAGCAGGGCCCACAGGGCTCTTGGGTAGCACTGATCTGCCGCCATCACAGCCTAGATGCGAACCACTGCCCGGAGCTTTCCAGCAGAGTCCCAGGCCGGGGAGTGTGGGGTCGGCTCGCCACAGGGGCCCAGAACGCAGGTAGGAACAGTCAGGCCCATTGACCGTGGGTGGGACTCACGCTCCCAAGTTGCTTTGACATCGTTGAGGATTTCCCCCATGAACAGCTGGGCGGAGGCAGTGTGGGGACTCCGAGGCCAGGGACTGGATCTCTGATTCCAGGGAGGGGACTCAGAGCTCCCTGAACCCGGCCGCACCTGTCCCATGTCTCAGGACTTCTCAGGCTGATGCGGTGCTGAGGATGGGCCCTTCTTTGTTTTTTTCTTACACTTACACACCCTCCGCCCATGGCTGAGGCTCTCTGAGGGCGAGATGGGTCCAAGGACTCCGTCAGGCCCCCTTAGGCCTGCTTGGATTGGACTTTTCCCTGCCACAGCTGAGCCCATCCAAGGAGATGCCCCTGCTCAAGGTGAAACTGACCGGAGAGGTGCCGCTGAAACTGACCCCGGTTCATTTTCCAGGGGGAAAGGTGCAGAAAGTACCCACATTGCAGCGACCAGGGCACAGGAAGTCCAGGGTACCGTTCTCTGGTGTTCCCACGCTCTACCCTGCTATTGATAACGGGCCGGGCAGCTCGAAGAGCCCAATCCCATTTAAAAATACATATAATTTAACCGGCCCATGCCCCTTCGTTCCTAACAAGATCTCCATACTGGCGAGAAGGATTTTCCTGGCCTGGCAGAGAGTTTGTTGGTGGGGGAGATGGGCAGCCCCGTTTCTCAGAATAGAGCCGTGATACAGCACAGAGGTGAGACGCCAGCCCCATCCCATCCCCAGAGAGCACTTTTCTTTTCCACTGCCGCCCTCTGGCCAACGCACGGTCCCAATCTATGAGGCCTGAGCGTCAGAGCGGAGAGCACTCTGGTGCCAGCGCCCCCGGTGCCTGTCGGCAGGAACACCCGGCTGCGTGGGGGTGGTGTAGATGGAAAGCACCTTACAACGTCACAGGGGGGGTTGTCACTTCAGAAGGGGAAACCCCAGCCACAGTGGCGGAGTTTTCACCACCTGGTTTTCACACTTACACTTTGATTGGAAGCTCTTTGGGCCCAGGGACTGTCTTTTTGTTCAGCTTGCGCCATCCCTGACCCCATGAAGCCCTGCTCCCGGACGGGGGTGTTTAAGCACTAGGGCAGTCCAGCTAATAACTTCCTGACGCAGAACCGAAGGTGGTCTCCTGGGAGTGACAGAGGAGCATTGTCTCACAGCCCTTAGGGGAGGGAGAACGGCCTAGTGGTTAAAGCAGGAGGCATGCCGATTGACTCCGCGTTGGCGATGTGCTCTGGGACTGCAGCTCATCTGGCAGAAGGTAGCGACTTACTTCCCACTGCCAGGCTGAAGTTTGTAAAATGCCTGTTGATCCTGAGAGGCACAATAGTGTCCAAAAAGCAAAGTCTCTCGCTGTTTGCAGAGTCAGGGACTCCTGCTGTTTGAAACTCTCCAGACAGGAGGCTGGAGGAAAAACTGCCGAACATATTGTGTGTGCAACAAGGTAAGTGGATTTCTTGTTCCCACTGACCAGAAGACAGGTGCTCATTAGCCACCTGCCATGTCTCATTAACCAGCCCGTCTGTCTCTTTAAAAGCATGATGGACAGCTGCCTCATCCAGCCAATCCCACTGCTTGCTAGGAGCCTGAGCTGCCAAAATGGGAGGGCTCAGGACCTGTGGGGTTGACATCACCCTCCAGCTGATTACAGAGGGCCCGGAAGAAGAGCTGTTTATAGGTTAGTAAGTTTCATTAACAAACTGGCGAAAAAGCAGAAGCCGCAGGGAGCAGGAAAGGGGATACAACTGGCTAACGCCAAGGGGGGGAGTTGTGGCTTTAGAGATGGAGCAAAGTTTGTTTCCTTTCTGGAGTCATTCGCTCTGGCCTGGCTGGGCTAATTTTTGTGAATGATTCCAGCTTCTCTGCCCAGCTGGGGCCTGGCGAAGACACCAGGCTGTGGCTTAGCTGCCTTGTCCTTTTCCCTGGGCAGGCCCGAATGCTGGTAGCTTGTGGGGAGAAGTGTGTGTAGAGAATTGCCTCGTTCCAGGGACAGGATCCGCACTGGGGGAGAGGGGCGGTGGGACGGATTGTAACAGGACCCGGCCGGGGGTGACTGCCTGCCACCAGTTTTGCCTCTTGATTTCAGCACCCATCTGGTGCAGGTTCCCTGGGGTTGTTTTCCTCCTTGCTGGGGCTGTGTTTTGTGCAGGGAAAGATTCAGCCAGTTTGGCTTTTGAAGGAGTTGGAGGGGCGGGGGGTCTTGTAGTAGACTGGTCAGGGTCTGAAATGACACCTGCCAGCCTACAAAGGCAAAGTCACCCTTCCCGTGGCCTGAGCTTGGCTCTTGCTGTCTCGTGGCAGTGGGGAGAGCCCATTCGTGTTCGGCCCCCTGGGCTACTGCTGCGTGTGTCCCGCTGCGCCCAGAATCCTTTGGCACCCGGGCAGAGCTTGGGACATAAAACAGGACAGCGCTGCCACCCCCCGGTGCTCTCTGCGGGGCCGGGGACCTGTGGGGTGCAAGGGCCGGGCAGGCCAAGGGCCGGGCAGGCCAACGGCGGGGTCGCTGGGATGGGTTCCGGTCTGGTGCGGGCCACCTCAGGAGCGTGATTCTCCCCCTGTTGCTCAGGGTGCGGCCTATCAAACAATCCTCGCTCCTGCCCAACCTCCCCGGGTCGTGGCTGTTGGGGAGAGGCCGCGCTGCACCCCCTGGCTGGGAGTGGTGCCATCCTATGGGGGAGTTTGGTGCATGGCTCTTCGCCTCCCCCGCGTTGTCCAGCCCCGCTGCTGAGCACAAAGCACAGGCCTCTTCACTCTGGGCAAAGCACGTGGCAACTTCCCAGCAGAGGGAGCCCGAAGTGAGCTCAGGGGGAGACCAGTGTCATTACTGTATTATTATTACAGAAGGGGAAACTGAGGCATGGGGTGGGGCCATCACTGGCCAAAGGCCACTCAGGCAGAGCTGGGAATAGTCCCAGCCCAGTGCTCGGTGCGTTAAAGTGACACGGCCTCTCCTGCAGCTGTTACCTGCGTGGGCTGGGCAGCAAAGAGATGTTTGGGGGTTTTATATTTTTTTATATAAAATCTTGAAATGTTCTGTGGCCAGAAGGTGCTTTTCATGAGAAATTCTGAGTTGGGTTGACAGCCCAGTTTTCCCTCAAACAAAACCAGGCCTGGTGGACACTTTTTGCCTGGCTGTACCACAAGCGCGGCGCTTTCTCCCACGGGCACCTTGCTTTTTGTTTGGTCCTGCTCGTTTCCTGACTGTCAAATATTTCCTTTACTGCTGAAAGCCGAAGGCGTCATGTGTGAGAGAACACACTTCTAGCCCACAGGATTTTCCATTTTTAATCACCGGCGGAATCGATTTCCCTTCTTCCCACGGGCTCATTCATAGGCTGTGTCGTTGCTTGCCTTCTTAAAACCTCCTGCCTGTGCTGTATCGATTACCTCTGCCGTCGGCCTGCTGGGGAACCTTGGGCAGTCACGGCTCTGTGCCTCAGTTTCCCCAGTGTCACGATCCCCATTTCACAGGTAGGCCCCCTTGTAAAATGCTGGAGAGCAACCACTGTAAGGCACTGTATGCGAGGTAGGGATTATTAGCGAGCAGGCATCTGTCATGGCTATGCCGCTCTACTCTGTTCTGCCACTCTACTCTGCACTAGTTAGGCCTCAGCTGGAGTACTGTGTCCAGTTCTGGGCGCCACATTTCAAGAAAGATGTGGAGAAATTGGAAAGGGTACAGAGAAGAGCGACAAGAATGATTAAAGGTTTAGAGAACATGGCCTATGAATCCAGGCTTCATGAACTGGGCTTGTTTAGTTTGGAAAAAAGAAGATTAAGGGGGGACATGATAGCGGTTTTCAAATATCTAAAAGGGTGTCACAAGGAGGAAGGCGAAAATTTGTTCCTCTTGGTTTCTGAGGACAGGACAAGGAGTAATGGGCTTAAAGTGCAGCAGGGGAGGTTTAGATTGGACACTAGGGAAAAATTCCTAACTGTCAGGGTGGTCAAATATTGGAATAAATTGCCAAGGGAGGTGGTGGAATCTCCCTCTCTGGAGATATTTAAGAACAGGTTCGATAGACATCTGTCAGGGATGGTGTAGACGGAGCTTGGTCCTGCCTTGAGGGCGGGGGGCTGGACTCGATGACCTCTCGAGGTCCCTTCCAGTCCTATTATTGTATGATTCTATGGGGTCCACCTTGGCAGGATGGCGCTTGCTCTCTTTCAGCAGTGTGTGGTGTGACCTTGCAGGCTGCCAGCGGGAGGCTGGGAATGAAAGGACCATGTGGCCGTTTTGGGGCCTGGAGGGGACCCGAGCCCCGTGTGACCAGAGCTTCCTGGAGGCCGTCAGTCAGCGCATGCAGGTGCCCCGCAGGCTGAAGGTGGCGGACGAGTCCAGGCTGCTGGCTGAGGAGAGAGATGTGGAGGCGCTTCCCCCTTCCTTCCGGATGCACATCCCAGAGAGGCTGTCGCTGGCAGGTGATGGGCAGGTTCAAGTCCCGCCACCCAATGTGGGGTCATCCAACACGAGCTCAGCAAAGGATGGACCTGGCACCCTTAGGGCATAGGACGGATAAGGGGGGGGCCAGAATGCAGGGATGTTGGGGGCTCCTCCAGCAGCACCGTGGAAAAGGCACCCACCTCCACAGCTAGAGGCCAAGGGCCTGAGCCCCACCCACTCAACCTGGGGTCACCCAACACCACCTTGGCAATGGATGGACCTGGCACCCTTGGGACATAGAGCAGATAAGAGGGGCAGGAACTCAGAGGGCACCAAATGCAAAGGCCTCCATCTGTTGCCCCACTCATCTGGAGAAGTGGGCCGGGCCCACAAAAGCTCATGATGCCATCGACATCACTTTAAGTTTAGATTGTAAAGTTACAGACCCACAGGGCCTTGTCTACACTAGGGAATTATTTTGGAATTACCAAATTCAACCTGACTCCCGATTTAACGACCTCAAACGATGCCCACACTACGGGGAAGCCTCGCAATTAGTCCAAGGCAGGCCCTATTAATAGGGACACACTGCCTTGGACTTAGAGCCCCAGGAAGCACTAGGGTGTAATGAGTTTGAATTACTCAGCGTCCAAGGCCGGATTAAGGTGGGGGCCCGGGGCACCTGATGGCAGCTGTAAGGGGCACCGGCCGCGCAGCACCCCTTAGAGCTGCCATCAGGCGCCGCGTGCCCGATTGCTGCTGTAAGGAGTGCAGCATGCTGGGGGGGCGGGGCCACGCATGCACCATGCGCCTGGGGGCGGAGCTGTGCATGCGTCGCATGCCCGGGGCACAGGAATGGCTCAAGCCGGCCCTGTCGGAGTCATTATTTCGAGATCGCAGCAGTGGAGTGTCCACACGCCCGCTATTTCAGAATTAGAGTTACTCCCGATGAAAAGCAGGAGCGCAGATTTCATATCACGTGGCCCGTTCCTTTGAAATAACGGGCGTGGTAGCATGGACGCTCTGCTTATCAGTTTAGCCTAAGGGGGGTTATTTTGAAATAAAGTCCTAGCATAGCTGAGACTTTTAGTCAGGAGTTTTTGCTCCTCCCTCTCCATTCAGATCCGGGTCCGTGTGGGTGTCAGAACTCCGGCCTGGTGTATCCATGTGCCGGTGGGTGGCTGGCTACTGCATGCTAATGAAGTTTGCCCGACTTTCAGCTGAAGGAAGAGTCCTCAGTCGTTACTGCAAAGAAAAGAAATCCATTCCAGGATTTTCATGGGAAAACCTGGAAGAGGTGTTGGATAAAGACTCAGCAGAGAGTGGCTGTCGGGGGTGTGTGTGTGTGTGTGTGTGTGTGTGTGTGTGTGTTGCATCAGGAGCCTCAGAAACACGATTGCTTCTCCCAGGGATTTGGACATCACTTTCTCCCCCACCTAAGTCTGACTGTGACGCTGTTACGTTCTGGAGCATAGGCAGATGCTTCTAACGGTCCTCTCTTTCCTCTCTGTAGACATGATGGATATGAGTCTAAGGCCTCTCCTGTCGGACCAGCTGCAGCAGCACCCTTCTATTGTTGTGCATATGCCTCAGGCCCCCTCCACCCAGCCTACGGCATTCGGGGAGCTCCCGTTTCAGGACACCGCTACCCGATCAGGCGCCCAGAAACGCAAGCGATTGGTACTGTATCTAGCAGCGGGCACCCGTAACAAGCCGGTCTCCAGAAGAAAAATTCCTGGGATAGTGAAATAGCCCAGTGTCTTCTTCCTAGGTCCTATAGCCCAGCCCCTGTGCCCTGGAAAGGAAGTTTTTTCTTCATGCAGCACATAATCAACCTGTGGAACTCCTTGCTAGAGGATGTTGTGAAGACTAGGACTTTAACAGGGTTCTAAAAAGGACTAGATACATTCATGTTGGATAGCTGTATCAAAACTTATAAGCCAGGATGGGTAGGAATGGTGTCCCTCATTTCTGTTTCTCAGAGGCTGGATAAGGATGACAGGAAAGGGATCATTTGATGATTACTTGCTCAGTTTACTCCCTCTGGGGCATCTGGTATTGGTCACTGTCAGCAGACATACGTTCTAACGCCATCTGGTCCCCTCCCCTCCGCAATAGTATATTTTTAAGCTGCCTCAGATGCCAAGGCAAGAGGTGAGCTCGTGATCAAACCAAGGCATGAACAGGTCAGTGTAGGCTGGCTGAGCCAAGTGAAATGTAAGAGATTAAACAAACTTCATGCAAGGTTCTACTCGCATTCTTTCCACTTCAGTAAGGGGGTCTCTTGGAATATTATTTTTGCATCTAGATGTATCGTTCTGGTGTATTCTCCTGGAGCAAGACCAATTGGAGCAAGGCTGGGGTGGAGATGCGCTCTGGGATCCAAACACAATAGGTCACATGACTGCCTTTGTATAATTATGACCTCATTCTATTCTGTGCCACACCGTAACGGCTGGGATGCTGTGGCTACCCAGTGGTAGAGCCTGCATTTGAAAATGGTGCCACAGCCCATCAGGCAAACCTCCCGTTGACGCCAGAGGCTCTTGGTTGGAGTAAAGACCCCAGTCCGGGTCCATGTGGTGATGAGGGCACATTTGGACAAGGTGGCTGCAACAGAGCGAATCTGTGGAACTCCCTGCATTGTTGCTGCTGCCTGCCTGTGGCAGCGCATGGGGGTTGCCGAGGGATTGTTGCCGGAGGGGAATGATTGACAGGGTGTAATACTAATGCTCTCATTTTGTGTGTTTGGACAGACCCACCATGGCAGACCGCGGAAGGAGAGAGCGCCGAGCGCGACCCCCCCGATTGCCGTGTGTGGCACAAGCCAGAAGCCTGACCGGTGAGACCTGCCAGGGCAAATTTACATGCTGAGCCTCCAGCCTCGCCTATATTGTGGTCAGATGGCCCGTTGCACCCTGCGGCTTGGCCCCCTGGGGTGGGGGGCACGGTCCTGGTTGGTCTAAGGCAGCGGTTCCCAACCTTTTCCACATGGGGACCCATTTGGACAATTCAGGAAGACCTGGTGACCCAAGGCAATTCAAAAACGGGGAGGGGCAGGGGCAGTGTCTCCTGGAGAGACACTTGGCGACCCTTTTGAAATGTAATGGCTGAGGCTGGACGGGCCATGTTGAACTCCCTCATTGGTCTTGAACGACGACGGTCGGTCCTTCTCTTGCGCCGTCGACCTGAAAGATCTGGTGCCCTTCACCAGCAATGCAGTCCGACTCTGAAGGCCTTCCTGAGCTCCAGAGCCTCTCTGCCCTACTGGCACACACAGAGGTTGCCCCAGCGTTGCACTCGCCCATCCAAGGGCCAGCTCGGGCCACTGACTCCGCCAAGGGCTGTCTGGGCCTGGTGTGCAAGGTCGGCTGTAGCTTAGTCGGTTACCACAGTCGTGGTGGTACAAGCAGACAGGTCACCGCTCCAAGCTGGTGCCCCGTTGCGTATTGCGTCCATAGAACGATGGAAACGAAGAGCTTGAAAGGACACCTAATCCACCCCCGTGCCAAGAGCAGACCTAGCTCACCTAGACCACCCCAGACAAGCGTGTCCGACCTGTTCTTACAAACCTCCATTGATGGGGTTCCACAGCCTCACTTCCATGCTTCACTATCTCTCGACTTAGAAAGTTCTCCTACGGGGTTCCACAGCCTTCTTACTTCCATGCTTCACTATCTCTCGACTTAGAAAGTTCTCCTAATACCCAATCGAAATACTCCCTTGCTGATCACTGCTTGTCTTACCTTCCGTGGACCATGGAGCCCAATTCATCCCGGTCCTTTTTATTATGACTCTTAACATATTTGAAGAGTGTTAGCAGGTTCCCCGTCCGCCTGCTAGTCTCAAGATTAAACATGTCCAGTTATTTTCATCTTTCCTCCTTGGGCAGCTTTTTTAAACATTCATCGTTTTTTGCTGCTTTCCCCTGGAGTCTCCATCCAGTTGGCCCACATCTTTCTGAAGTGCAGTGTGTAAAACTGGGCATGACACAACAGCTGAGGCCTCCAAGCCAGGTCGTGTGGGGCAGTCGCTGGTTGATACATGCCAGCGTGGTATTAGGGTTGTTTTTGCAACAGCATCACATCCTTGGCTCCTAGTGAATGCCTGATTGAATGTCACCTCTGGATCCTTGGTATGCCATCAGCTTATGCCCCATTTTGTACCTGTGCATTTTTTCCCCCTTCCCAAGTACAGTACTTTGCACTTGTCTCTCCTGAATTTCAGCTTGTCAAATTTAATTGTCCAGGGCATTTTGAAATGTAATCCTGTCCGCTAAAGTGCTTGCACTCCTGCCCAACAGGGGTGTTCTGCAGATTTTATAAATAGATCCTTTACTTCCTGATCCAAGTAATGAAGGAAATCCTGAATATTGCCAGCCCAACAAGCAGACCCCTGATGGTCCCCACTAGGTTGACAGAAAACCACTGGTTTGCCCCAATGCCTTGAAGGGGCTTACGAACTGATTACAGTATTTAATACTTTGGTCCAGTGCCTTTTTTTAAAGTATTGAAGTTTGGCCGATTGATTCTATTACTTCCTGGCTGCGTCTAGACTGGCAAGTTTTTCCACAAAAGCAGCTGCTTTTGCGGAAAAACTTGCCAGCTGTCTACACTGGCCACTTGAATTTGCGCAAGAACACTGACGATCTCATGTAAGATTGTCAGTGTTCTTGCGGAAATACTTAAAAGGGGAACAAAGAGGACGCAGGGGCTACGTCCAGACTGGCATGATTTTCCGCAAATGCTTTTAACGGAAAAGTTTTCCGTTAAAAGCATTAGCGGAAAAAGAGCGTCTAGATTGGCACGGACGCTTTTCCGCAACACGTGCTTTTGCGGAAAAGCGTCCGTGCCAATCTAGACGCTCTTTTTCCGCTAATGCTTTTAACGGAAAACTTTTCCGTTAAAAGCATTTGCGGAAAATCATGCCAGTCTGGACGTAGCCCCTGCGTCCTCTTTGTTCCCCTTTTAAAAAACAGACTGGTACTATGGGTGCCCCTCTGCAGTCCTCTGGGACCTCACTTGTCTCCCATATGTTCTTGAAGATTGTTTTTACCTAGTTTCCTAATAGCCTGTTCCATGACACATGGATGAAGTGAGACGTACCCTTGCTAAGCGCAGCTTGGAGCTATCATAAGGATGCATGAAACAGCCCCGTCCTGGGTCCTCCGGTGCATCAGTGCATAAAAGGGAGGGGAAATGCAGCCGAGCGCAGAAGGGAATAACTATTGTGATTCGGTATATGCCCTGCAGGCCAGACACATGCCCACCGCCCTGTCCCGGCCCCCCATGCCCTCTGTTCCTCCAGGGCAGCAGGATCTACTCCCTGCAGAATATCTTCCAGATGGTGCGATTCCTGGGTCACCTGCTCTTCCAGCGGGTTAAGAAGTCTGCTCAAGACCAAGCGCCACCCAGGTGACTCGGTCTGACCTGCTTCGGTCCTGAATCCGCACGACTCTGCCTACACGCCGCTTTGCATACTCCTCGCATGCCTACGGGGAAACCCGCTGTGCAGCCAGCCTGGAATTCCCTGAGCCAGGCATCTGGCTACCTGCCTCTGTAATTCCCTTGACTGTAACACATTACCTAATGCCTCCTGGGACTTTCGTGTGCTGCTGGCTATGATCTTAATGTAACGAGAGTGCTAGGGCACCGCACGTACACTGCCTACTTGGTGTTTATTAAATGGATACAGGACGGGAAAGGGGATAAAATCCAGAGCTATTTGGCGACGGATTCTATGCTCTTATGCCACTGACGTGGGTTTCCGATCCAGTAGCTCCTTGTCTGCAGAGTTTATAAGCTTTGCAGCCTCCCTCCACCAGGGGCTAGAATCCGTCATGCTTTCAGAATCTTGTGAAGCCGAGCCATGCAGCCCCACAAGTTACAAGTTATCTGTGTTGTCACCTGCCGGAATCTCCATATTCTAATGATTTTGAGGAAAGGGAGGGGAAAGAGAATCCGTATCTATAGATGCAAAGTGTCAGTCACACATTTACAGCTGCTTGACTAATGTTCTTCCAGCCTGGCTTGCTTTTTGAAGTCTCAGTTTGCTCAACAACACCAGCAGGGTTTGGATCAGAGAAAAAAGAGCCCAGACTCCGTTCCAAATGCACCATTTCCAGTCTGAGAAGTTAAATTTTGCACAGAGTAAAAAATGATTGCACTGATTTGCTCCAGCTCTATACCAGACAGAAATTTTTGGAAAATCTGCTGGATGACTTCCTTGAAAGTTGAGTCATTGGGGGGAAGTAGCTTAGAATTCTAGGCAATTTTCAGTCTGTACTATAATGAGGACTACCTCTACCTGGGTGGGTGAGTGTGTGTGTGTGTGTGTGTGTATTTTAGTCAAAAACTTTGGGTTGTTGCAGTTGTTAATGTTCTGTGTTGGGTGACATCAGCAATGTTCCATCACGTTGTTGTTGTTGTTTTTTTAAACTCTTGTCATTGTGTTTAATATTGGTCGGCCTCCATCCAGTTCCTTAAACCTCTTTGGACTGTCTTGGAGTGTGGTGATGTGCCCGAGAGCAAACTGCAAACCAAATCCACAGAGCTTTCCCACCTGTGGTTTATATGGTCAATGACACAAGCCACATTTTTGGCCTGCTCCTCCCAGCCTCTGTAAATGGGAGTGTTAAAGTCAGTGGAACGGTATCTGTTCATATCAGCTGAGAATCTGGTTTTACAATAACAACGAAATGCATTAGAAAAGTTGACTCTGCAAACGGCAGCTCCCTTTTACCTAGCCTGTCTCCTTTAGTCCTATCTGCCGACTTTCCTGAGACAAAGCTACTATTCCCGCTAGCTCTGAAGAATGAGCGCAGATAGGGGAGAACAAGCTGGAGTTTTTTTCTGGCTGTCATATGGCCAATGGCAGGACTGATACTATCCTCTCCTGAGGAGAAGAGGGTCCTTAGCCTAGTGAAGTGACCTTGCTGGGGATCAGTGTTCCCGCTAATTGTTTCTACCAGTGTGTGGAATACATTTTGTTATGCGCACTGAAGCATGTGCGGATGTGCACCACCATGAAACACATGCTGCTGACTGCGGGCACTCTGCTAATCAGCTGGGCGGTGTTTAAAACTTTCCAAGTGCTCAGCTTACAGAGATCGCTGCTGGGGATCATGGAAAGTAACTAGAGAGCCCTCTTTTTAGCAGAGATCCGTGGCCGGTGCATTGGGGCAGACAGTCACCACCCCCTTTACGGGTGGTGGTGGTGGGGGGAAATGGCAGTTTTCTGGACCAAGTCCTCCGCTGGTGTAAATAGCGTAGATCCATGGACTTGAACAGAGCTTGTCAGTTTCTGCCAGCTGAGGCCTCAGTTCTGGTGTTTGCATGGACCGATCTAATGACTGCACACATGGGGGACTGCCATTTGGCACATGCGCTATTCTCTTGCACCGTGTGCTGGGATTTTAACCGTAAATCCATCGCTGAGTAACCTTCCCCTGGCAGCATGCACTGTCTGGTTTGCAATGCGGGTCGCTGACCACTGCACCTTGGCAGGGTTACTTGGCCGGGGTGTGGTGACAGACATGCTGCATCTCCACAATCACATCTGCTGCATCTTCTCTGTGCCATCCACCAGGTGTGCTTTGAGCGTGGGTTCCCCTTCCCGCCCCTCTTCCGGGCTCCCTGTGCCAGCCCGTGATTCCATCTCTGGATCTCTGTCTGCCCGTTTGCATCTCTTTGTTTTCCTTCTTCGTAGCTCTCAGGACGCAGGCGCAGCCTCAGAAAGCTCCCTGGAGGAGTTGGGTATGACTGACATGGTGGCCATGAGAAGACAGGTGAGAGGGAGAGGTTTTGCTATTTCAAAATAACATAGTCCACATGTACATAGCTAGCAGTTATTTCACCATAATGTCGAAATACCGTCGAGCTGGAGGACTGCTGACTCCGACTCCTGTTAACCCTCATCTTAAGAGGGAGTAAGGGGAGTTGGAGGAAGAATGCTCTTTCTCAGACTTCCTGCTGTGTAGATAGCGCCAAAAGCCGAAATAAGCTATTTCAACTTACGCTACGTTTCGCTGACGCTGTGTAACTTAATTCGACTTTTTGCCCTGCTGTGTAGACATGCTCTGGGGAAGCGGCCTCAGGGACAATGAGAGCAGGTATTGGTAGTGGGCTCCACCTCGTGTTCTTACACTGGCCCTTGTGAGCATCCCCGATAAGAGGAAACACTGGGATCAGAGTGTTGCTCTTGCTGGGCCTCGTGAGCATCCCTGATAAGAGGAAACACTGGGATCAGAGTGTTGCTCTTGCAACCAGTGCTCCTGTACTTTCGTGATCCTAGAAAGAGCCCCTGGCAGACTCCAGTAACTGACATTAAATAGCCCCTGGTGCTTTGCTGGCCCTAACAGTTTGCTTCCTTAAGCAACTGCCTGCTGGGTTCGTGTGGGGCAGATGATGGCCCCTTGCACACGAGGGCTGTATCTCCTGTGGGCTGTATCCCCTGCTGGGAGAGACCTGGCATAGCTGGGAGTCCATGCTGCTGCGCCAGCCCTCCAGAGACACCTACTGGTGGAGGCTGGGGCCAGCGTCCTTTAGATCACCCTTTGATCCCTCATCACCTGCATGTGACTGACCTGGCTGCTTTTCCGGCAGTTGAACAAGATCTTGGGGAGGGTGCAGACTCTGGAGGAGCAACGTACCAGCTGGCAGCAGAAGGAGCTTCTGGTCTACTCTGCGCTGGTCTCGGCGTGTCTCATCAACACCTGGCTTTGGCTAAGGAGATAGAGGGCCCTGCCCATCCCAGGAGAGAGACCGAGAGCACGCCCATGGGGGAGCGTGACGGGCGAATCCTCGCTAATGCACTTTCCAACAGTCAACTCCATGTGCGTCCTAAAGTGCTTGGCCTGCTTCTCCTCCTGCAGATTCCCTGAGGACTGGAGCTCTTCGGCCACTTTGCACCTATGATGCTGGCGGAGGTGGGGAGTGGGGGCAGGGGGGTATGAGAACTGCGGGGCTGGGTTCTTTTGCCGGCACAGCCAGTGACTACCAGGGAGGGGTGGGGAAGGCTCACTTATAACCAGTGAATGGGTGTCCCGTGGCCATGTTGCTGTGAGTGTATCAGATTGCTAGTGCTGTATAAATATTAACGAGGGTGCGGTGAGCTTGGTTGGGTCCGTGCGTGGAGGAGAAGGGTTCCTATGTGGAGGGGAATCCTCCAGGGATAGCCGAGGCACTTCAAGAAGTAGCACTTGCTGTTCAGAAGGTCCCTCTTTTTCCCCCCCGGCATCGGCACTGAAGCCAGACCCCAAGATGCTAGGCAGCGCTTCATGCTTTTTTGGAAGAGATAAAATGGCAGTTCTGGGCACCTGTGGCCATCGGAAATCCCCCTGCTTTTTGGATAAGTTCAGCCCTGATCTCCTGGCCAAATCCCAAACTTTGACTCCTTAAGGTTCCCCCGTAGTTTTCTCTAGGCACTTCCACATCTCCTGCCCAGAATTGTTGTTGGCTGGCTGTGCACTTCTAAGCACTTGCTACACCCCCGTGTGGAGAAGGCTGCATCTTTGCGGTGGTTGAAACAATCAGTGTCTACTTGGTGTGGCAGGCACATAGATAACCTCCAGGTGTTTGTGGGATCGCTGTCAGTATTCAGGTGTTGTTGTCTGGGAGTCTGGTGATGTGTAAAGGGGGGTACCTAGGATCTCGTACTCAGCACGCACCAGTTGGCTAATAGAATAGCCTATCAATTCTAGCCTGTCTATCCCAGGAGGGCTATGGGGTTGGGCTGGGATAGAAAGGAATTGTCTAGGCTCTGTATTCGGGACAACTGTCCTGAACATATTGACACATCCCCCTACTGAGCAATGGAAGTGGCCATGAAAAGCTGACCAGGACAATTGACTCATTATTGGCTAAAAAACCATCAAGTGATGAGTCTAGAAATGGCTGCCAGTTACCTCCTGGGTCTTGGCAATCTTTGGGTTGGGAACGGCAACGGGAACCTTTCAGCTCCCATGTGCAGATCACTTGCAGTTTGGCGGGTGTCTTTCGCAGAGCATCTAACTCCCCTGCCATGCGCTCTCAATGGTGGTTGTGTGCCACGATATTATTTCTCTAGTGCCGACACGAGAGGTGTGCGAAGACGAGAACCCTGCCCCGGGGTGTTTGCTGTCTAACTAGACAATGCGCTAATGCAAGACATGCAGAAAATAGTATGACGGATGGGTACTTATATCATTTACTTGCACTCAGCACTTCCTGGCCATAACGGGGACACCTCCGGGTAGTTCTTCGGTGTGTAACGATGCATCTACCTGAATTTTGGGACAGAGTTTCAGTCCAGGTGTAAGCCGGCTTCTTATTCCACCTATAAATACATGGGGATACAATTTAGGTGGCTAAGTACTGAATTTCCAGGCGCAGGTATATAGAGATTTATATGACTTGCGTTGTACCAAGTAGCCAGACCTGTAAATCAGATACTTGGGCACCTAAATAATCAACCCATAAATATTTCTGGGTGCAAATTCTACCTCTGCGGCCAATGACTGAGCTGAAGAGACTGTCAAGATTTATTACAGCTGGAGCGGAGATCTGCTGACTGTTCTGGATATGAAATGAGGGGATGGGTCGGCTGTCAGTCTAGATGTGGTTCCTGCATCTCCAGGTTAAGGAACCCTGGGGAGGGAGCAGGGTGGGGATCTTGTAGTGCTTGTGCCTGGGTTATTCTGCGGTGATTGGATTTCCGCCTGCAGGGCTGCCACTCCAGCTCCTCCCATTTTTGGGGGTGGAGCCACTATCGGCTCTGCCCATTCCAGCAGGGATCACAGGGACCTACCCCTGTAGTATCACTCCAGTCACCTGCAATTTAAAGAGAAGCTGCTTCAAGGCTGCCAGAAATGTGTGTGCTCTAGCGGTGGCTCCCGGCTTCACAGATGTGCGCCGCGCTTTCCCAGCCGGGCGACAGGCTGCAGACTGATCCGGTGGGATGTCCAGCACCTTCACGTTCCTGCGGAAACCATTTTGGAGCAGGGGTGCTCTGCAATGTGCAGGATCAGGTCTGTTCGGTCTGCTCAGCTGGCTGTGGCTGATCGGTCACCAGGGGTGCAATATGGATTTTCTCTGTATCCGGCATAGGTCCCGATTGCACGTGTGTATCAATCTGGAACCATCACTCAATAAAATGTGTTTTTAAACCAGTGCCGTTTGGCGAGTACAAGCAACCTCCTGGCAAACGGGGTCGTAACCCTCCCTGCAGCTCTCCACCCTGGGATTGTAGGAGTCCCGATGGACTGTTGCTTCCTTGTGCCCACCCAGAAACTTACAGAAAGACCATGACTCCTGAGCTCCATCAGGGATAGCTCCCCCAAGGTCCTGATTGGAGGGATACGGGGACCGCTGATTGGTCTGGGCTTCCTACTTGAATCCAAAGCGAGGCACAAGAAAGCGTCTGCACAACGTGGGTGGCGATATATATATATATATACAGCTAAGCCAGGGTGGGCAATTATTTCTGTGGGTGGGTCACTGCTCGAGGTAGTGGTAGTCAGCTGTTCAAGCTCCTCCCACAGAGCCGAAAAGAGCCTATGAAATGCGACCAGAATGTAGGTGTTTCGCGTGATTGGTGGGTGCTTGCCCTGTTCCCACCTCTCCGCCCAGCGCCATTTTGTGGCATCGGCGCTGACGTCCCCTGGACTGCCGACTTGTGCCCGCTTGAGGCGGGCATGGTGGGCAAAGGCAGGGCGGTAGCACCCTTGCCAACGTGAGGCCTGCAGACATCCTGAATTAGACCCCCCCCATAACGAGATCGATTAATCACACACTTGCGATTCTTCCCATTTTCCTTCTGGAATTTCACGTTTTCAAAGCGCTCTCACAAACCAGAAGGACCAGAAATGTTTGGTTTTCTATGGAAGCTGACATGTTCGTGTAACCACATGACTCACGAGCCTAGGGCTTCCAGAGAAACCCCAAATACTGGGAGACTCATGAGAGCAGCTCAGGAGGTGGCAACCAACTGGTCTAGCCAAGCGATTAGCCACTACAGCTTATGGTGATTTTAACATCCTTGGGGATTGGATAAGACCCCTCCCCGATATACGTCTCAGGGCTGTAGATGCCCTAAGTTGCACATGGAACCACCCTCCTACTCCACTCTGTCTTATTACAGTGACTTCTAAACAGATTCAATAGCCCCTAAAAGAGGACCTCGTGAAATACGCAATTCCATGCAATTCCACGTCTCCCACGCAATTCTGTCCTTCTGATAACCTGCTTGCCTCCCAGATAATCTAGTGCCGTGGTGTTCAACCAGTTCTGAAGCCGTAGCCACTATAGCGAACTAGCCACACTCAAATGGCCACATGTGGCTAGCGTGCTGGACACCACGGATCTAGAGGGTCAGAATTCACTTCCTGGGCATGCATGTGTGCAGAGCGGTGACGGAGGCAGGTGATATTAAACTATTGGCCTTTTCCTGCGATTCCCAGGCTGAGTGACAGCTGTAGCATGATCTGGGCAAAACCACAAAGGGAATCTTAGAATGGGAAGGGACCTTGAGAGGTCGTTGAGTCCAGTCCTCTGCCCTCATGGCAGGACCAAGCACCGTCCAGACCCTCCCTACGGGCTACGGCTGGCTGTGGTATCCTGTGGTATTGATGAGAGCCAGAGTGAGCTGCCGTGCCAAGCAGGACTTTGGGGTCCTAGCCCCGGCTCCCCCTGTTTATATCCTGTACTTATCACCGCCGTCCCTGTGCGCCGGTGGCTCGGCGTTTCAAGGTGAGGGACGTCCTAGTTCACTGGGCCAGCGTCTGCTGGGGAGAGGCCAGTGTCTGAGCTTACGCAGCGCTCTCTTCCTCGGCTCCGGGAAACCCCAGCCGAGTCACCGGCCCTCCTTGGGAGGCTCAGCCTGGCTGGGAGGGTTCCTTCAGGAAGGTTGGTAAAGTACTTGGAGAGCCTCGACCAAAGGGAAGGGGTTTGCCGGCTGTTCTGGGCCAGCCACGCTGTTCCTTGAATGCCTTGTGAAACGCCCGCCCGAGGCCAGGTGGAAGGCAGAATTGGATATCCCCTGTTGCCTTTCCAGGCAGGCCAGGGGGGTGGCGTGCGGGGCCCAGCCAGACGCAGAGGGAGGGCAAGTGGGAATTTGCTGGGTAGTGGCAGAGCCTCAGCCCGGTGATACCCGAAGCGGAGGGGAAGAGCTTTCATCTCTCCTCCCCTTTCGCTCCCCAGACACAAAGCCATCTGTGATTAACGCCTGGAGTACACCTAGTGCTTTGGGAGCCTGCAGGGGATGCACACGCTGTAGCAGGGGGAGAGAGAGACGCCAGCTCAGAGGCCCTTTCGCTGTTGTTGGGGGGTCGCCTGCCCCACTCTCTTTCCTCTGAAAGTTTTTGCTGCATTTCTTGGCTATAAACTATCGCCTCGCCCCACGGGCGACTGGCCAGGCTCCTGAGTCCGGGGGAGAAGCAGCCCCTTGGAACCAGGGCCAGGACTGTTTCTTTTCAAATCCACCCGTGGCATTCAAGTCTTGAGTTCAGTCCTCGCAGGTGCGGCGAGTTCCTGGGGGTGATGAATCCCGTCTGCTCCTGCCTGCCCGTGGAGGTAACGCGTTGGTGGGTGGTGTGCTGAACCCCCCCCTTTTGCACCGAGCCAGGAACCTGGAGGCGAGCGCCGGGGCCCGACAGCGCCGCACCGGAGAGGCTGAGCCAACTGGGGCGAGTGGCGTGGGCTGGTTCGCTGCTCCGATGCTGAGTTTTGCCACTAGCCGCTGCACTGCACGGGACGTCTGACTAGTAAGTACAAAGGCTTGTTCGGCTCTGCCCTGGGTGTGTGCCCCTGAGTGGCCCATAGAGGGTTATGCCCCCCCATCTTGCCCCTGGAGGTGGGAAGGGATTTCCCCTGGCTCAGACTGGTAGAGATCCGGGGGTTTTCCTCTGCAGCGTTAGTGTAAATAGTTGATCTCTGTAACTTGACATCTTTAAATTCCAGTTTGAGGACTTGTGTAGCTCAGCCAGCAGAAGGTGGGTGAGTGGGTTTGTATAGCCTGCAATGTGCTGGAGGTCAGACGAGGTGATCATCACGGTCCCTTCTGACCTTAAAGTCCACGAATCTACCCTTCCCACGTCGCTGGATGTGTCCCTACGCCAGATGCATGGCGCCCTGTATGCCTATGTCCGGGGTGGGGGGTGTGAACCTCAGTGCCCCTCTGCTTTGGGGGGTAGAGATGTGTTCTCTGCAGACAAAGCATGCCCGTTCACAATGCATTGTGTAGATGTGTGCCTGCGCGCCCGCCCTCCGCGTCCTGCAGAAGTGTCTTGAGTTGTCTTTCCTGTGTATGATCGACACGCGTCCTGTTTAGCGGATGGTGCCTGTGCGAGTGGGACCCTTGTATCTATAATGATGACCAGATGCCCCTGAATGTAGGACCCTGGGGTGTTGTGGGAATACATCCCTCTTAGGGGACGTGAGCATGTGAACCTGCTGGCTGTTGTCCACGGGTCTTTGTGCGTTTCGGTGTGCGTGGCTGTCTCTCCAGGGAGTGTCTCTTTCAGCAGCCGTATTGGGTGTGGGGTGCCCACTCTGCCCCGCCTCTCACTGGCGTTTCCTGCAGTGGAGTGGGATACCCAGGAGTTTGCCCGTAGTGGGTACGTGGGAACAGTGTCAGGCTGGGGAACCTTTTCTGGGCCAGGGGCTGCTGACCCACATAAAAATCAGTTGGGGGCTGCACACAAGTGAGAAGCAGAAAAAGAAAAACCAACCCCTCACTGGCGTGGCCCTGACGGAGAAGGAGAAAGATCCTCCCACGTTCCCCTCCCACACCAGAGCCTGGGGTACCCAGGCTAGTAGATTTTGGGTGCTCCAGCCCTGTGGGGCTGTGGCTGGTGGCAGGGGGGACTGGAGTGCCAGTGCGGGCTCCCCAATAGTGCGTGGGGAGCCCTGAGCCTCAGGGGCTGGATCCAGGCAAGCCAGGGTTGCATCCGGCCCCCAGACCTTAGGTCTCCCACCCCTGGTTGGCTGAGCATCCTTGGGGCTGGGCAGGAAGAAATCAGGCTTCCTTGTAGGAGCCCTGAGTTTGGTTTCTGCCCTGTGGCTGCACTGGGGACCTGTGGTCTCTCTTGAGTAGCAGTGGCCGTTTCAGTTGCTCAGCTCTGCTGTCCCCTCGCCGAGGGGGTTTGATCTGCCGTCTAACACGGCCTCGTCACAGGGACCGTGGCGTGTGGCCTGTCCAGCTGCCGAGGCCCCAGGAGGTTAGAATGGCTGGTTCTTCCCACGGAAGCCACCAAGGGCCTCTCTCCGCTCAGACATGTTCTGGATTTAAACCTTCATGTCATGGTTACAGGGCTGGTGGACCCTTTGTGGATTCTGAGTTCACCTTCTCAGGTCTCAGGACCTGGGTCACCTTCTCCTGGGCCTCCCATGAGTCTCCCTCTCTGACCGGACCTTGGTGACAGCAGCCTGTGTATTGTGCTTACCCAGCAGGTCCACTCGGCTTCGCACCTGCAGTTCTGTCCTTCTGGGGTCTGTGGCCTCTCATGACTGGACTGAGTACAGTTTAATCTGAAGAGTGGCAATGGATCATGTGGAGAAAAGGCTTTTAGAGCTACCTAGGCTACATACGTGCATCGCTCTGTTACCTAGAGCTCTAACATCTTGTGAGTGCCACTGGTTTTCTGCTGGCGTTCTGTGTCCTTCACTCCCCAGGCACCTTGGCGGGTGGAGCCCCCAAAATGTCAAGATGTGCCCTCTATAAATCTTCCTTGGTCACCCGTAGTGGGTTAGTCCCGAGGGGAGATAATTGCGTTAGGATGCTGCATCACAACATCACATTAATGATTTAATGTCATGACAGGAATGGCCTAATCTCTCTCTGCTCGGCACTGCCTTTGTCTTATAACAGCCCACAAGTGTTTTCCTTGTCCCGAGGCTTGTTCTGTCTTCCAGCTTGTGTGACATGGTGAATATACGGCGTTCGTTAGTTATTACTGAGTCAAGCCAAAGTGCCCGACTGGGGCCTTTGCAAAATGTCTTGTCCTAAGGAACAAGTGTCGCTCCTGGCATGACTGGTCGGGGAGAGCAGTGGCAGAGGCTGCAGATCTTTCATCCGCGAGCTCCCTCCCTCCCCCATCAGAGTCCCCAGGGACGAGGAGTGACATGGTGAATATACGGCGTTCGTTAGTTATTACTGAGTCAAGCCAAAGTGCCCGACTGGGGCCTTTGCAAAATGTCTTGTCCTAAGGAACAAGTGTCGCTCCTGGCATGACTGGTCGGGGAGAGCAGTGGCAGAGGCTGCAGATCTTTCATCCGCGAGCTCCCTCCCTCCCCCATCAGAGTCCCCAGGGACGAGGACTCCTGCAGCCACGTTCCTAGAGCTGAGGTGAGCTGTAGAAATCTAGGACAGAGAGCCCAGGTTTGGATGAGGCCAGGTGCAGTAAGGTGCTGTAGGTTCTGCCATCCAATGGGATTCCTGACCTGCAGCACAGCCCTGCTGGCCCAGTGCAGGCTCCCCTGGCCCCAAGGAAACCCCTCAGCCCTGCCCTGCTGCCCTCCCCACAGTCCCAGCCCTGCGCCCCTTTACACCTCGGATTGCGGCTCAGTCTTCTGCACCACCTCCCGTTACTCCGGTGACGGGAGGCTTAGCAACTAACCTTATTCACAGGAGACTGCCAGTCTTGTGATGTCTGCTTCATAACATGGCTGCTCTTTGTGGCCCACTGGGTGTAATTACATTGGCTGGCGCGTAGGTGGCTTTTGAAGTAAGGAAGGCAGGGGAAATACTAGACCAGTTCCCCCCCCCCACCCCCCCTGCTCCTTCTTCCCCACACCTCATTGTTCAGGCAGCAATTGCACACTCGGCATGAATTCTCCTTCCTTGAATAGGGCATGAATCCTTCCCTATTGCTCCCTTTCCTGCCGTTAGCAGGCTGCCCGACATAGCAGCTTTATTCCGTGCCAAGAAATTCCCAGGAAATCCTGGTACATTCCCACCTGCCTGTCCTGACTTGGCATAACGGCTCCTCTCTGCTCTGCACTCTCCAGCCTGCAGGAAATCTTACAAAGTCATCCCCTAATCTCCTTTGCTCCAGCTCCTGCAGACGTGGTTTCGCTAACCTCTTTGCACTAGTCACACTTTAGGGTCTCCATGGGCCTTTCGCCCCCTGTAGGATCTCCAGCGGTCCCTCCATGGGTCCTTCTTGGACACCAGAGGTGGGCTAGCCCTGCAGAGAGACCATTGCATTAGGATGCTGTGTCACAACATCACGTCAATGACCTAATGGCATGGCAGGAGCGGCCTGATCTCGCTGCTCTTCATAGGTCATGTTCTCTAAATGTTTATTGGATGTTTATTGCTTTCCCGCTGTCTCCTGGAGGAGATGCACCAGGCTTCCGGGTGTGTCTACACACGTCTGTAGGCTCTCTGTGCTGCTGGGGTTGCTCCTTTATCTCGCCCGGGGATGTCTGCCGAGGTGGGTGGTGTGAGTTCTCTCTCCAGGGACAGATGTTTGCAGTTGCCTGATGGCCCCAGTGTCTGGCTGTCTATGGCTATGGGGTAAGACAGCCAGGGCAGGAGAGGACTCAGCTGCTGTATTACCAGTGTGCTCAAGCACTCCTGGCGGGGTCCCCAGGCATCGTGGCTGGTGTGCTCAGATTTTACTCTCCCACCGCTGTCTCCTCAACCAGGTCATCTCTGCTCCCTGGGGCCACAACGTTGCGTGAACAAGGGGACTGCGCGTAGCCCCGGGCACATTGTAAAAGGGAATGGGGGATTACTCTAGAGAAGTATAAAATCTTCCCTCTTCTTCCAAGAAATAAAGAAGCTGTTACTGTCTAAGACAGAGCTGGTCTGTGGGGCACTGGATGGGCTGAACCTCTCTCGGGTGCTATTTTCCACATGAGCCATCGCTGCCACGGGGAAGTTCCAGAATCGTGTGTGTGTGTGTGTGTGTGTGTGTGTGTGAGGCGAGCTCTCCGTTTAGATGTCTCCATGATGGTTTCCCAGCTGTTCCCTGCAGCAGGGCTGTGTTGGCTGCCAGCCAGAGGTTCAGAAGGCCTGTTTTAACGAGGAGCCTAAATTTCAAATGCAGCGGAGAACTTATGGCTGAGGAGACATGTAGCTCACGGGGCAAACTTCTGAGAGGCTGCACTGCCCGGCAGGCCAGGTTTCTTTGTAAGCAAACAGGCACCAGGCCGTCCCAGCCCCTGCTACAGGACCGGCCCTTGGCTTCCTCTAACTGACAGGATGGTTTGACTTCCTTCATGGCCTGGAGTCTTCTGCCTCCATCACCTTTGAGTATCCCCAAGGGGGAGGGGTTGAAAGAGCTGCTCCTTCCTGCACGCTTCCTCCGGGGGGGCCTCATTACCTGGCTGAGGTTGCAGCTTGCACCTGTTGTTAGGGCCTTGCTTGTTGATGCTGTCGCCCCAGCAACGGCAGCAAAGAGTAGCGCTAGAGCCAGGGCATCTTTCCACTCGCACAGCACGGTGGAGGGCCGCGAGGGAGGCAGCTGGAGATGGGGGAAGGGAGGGAGGCACGGAAGAGGCAGAGTGGAGCAAGAGGGATGGGGAAGGGAGGGAGAGAGAGAGGCCAAGTTTAAGAAAGAGAAAAATGGGCGGAAATAGGGAACGATTGGTACTGA